CTCTTCTTGTGAAATATTTCTGGACTTTCTCAACTGTGTTAATATCACATACGTAATGTGGGTTCTAGACTGATGAGCTGTATTCAAGTATTGGTCTAGCAAATGTTTTGTTTAGTTAGTAGATATTACCAGAGAAAAAGCTACGTAGGATTAGGTTAACAACTCTTAATGCCTTTTTGGCTATGTAGTTACAGTGGGCTCTAGCACTTAGATCAATTGAGATGAGTACTCCAAGGTCCTTGACAGAATTCGGATCATCAGCAAGGTCTTGACTATTCAGTTTGTATTTTATTTTCTGTTGTTTTTTTTTTTGCCAATATGTAAGACAGAGCATTTATTTGTTGAGATTTGAAGTTGCCCTTGGATTGACCATTCTGATACATAGTTAAGGTCTTTTTGTAATCCCCTTTTGCAGCCTTCCTGCAAGTGAAGTCCAGGGGGAAGCCAGATTCACAGAACAACGGTGGCAAGAAAGGTTGTAAAACGAGGCAAAATTCACTTAAATGTTTCACTTAGCAACAGAAACGTTGGGCTCCACTGTGGTCGTAAGTCGAGGACTTGTACTGTTTTCAAATCTGGGACCATTTCCCATTTCTGGTTCACGTTACTGGACCAGCCTGCAAGCAGGTAAGACTTTGTTAAGGCGGCATCTGGGCCTCGGTGGAAAACTACCCCTTCTCCCTCTTTCCCCTGCTAAATTACTCTTCTCCGTTGAATTACGGTCTCATGCTTTGTGAGGGTGGCCAGATGGGTAGCCAAGCCTGGCAGCCCAGCCAGGTCAATCACATTTTTCACTTCTCATTATTTCTACTGGCCATCTGCAAATCAAGCTGTCACATCTCATTACTCCGAGGGAACAGCAGCGACAAAAACTTCCCCAAAGATAGATCGGTGTCTTGACCTTCTAAGGCGCAAGGCACTATCTCTAATTAAGTCTTCTCAATCTGTCCTAAGTCCCTCTCCTCTCAGCCAGCCAGCCTGATTTACTAATTGATTCGGCTCTTCTCACCGGTTCCCAATTCGGCTGGAAACCCGCAAATTCAATTGCTTGGATGCGTTGGTATGCGGCCTTGCGACCCTGTCCGGGTTCGACAGCAGCTGTATTTCAAATCCCACCAGGTACAAATGCAAGCCTGATTTTGCAGGTATTTTCGCTTTGCCTGGCAAAATAACGTCTGAATGCTTGGTGATAAAGCTGCAGTGTTTAATAGGAAGGTGTTTGCTGGAGTTTTTTTGGGTCTTCGGCGAGACGTTTCAGTTCCAGGCAGAAAAATGTCATTTCCCAAATATTTCTAGCTACAGCTAACATACGAAGCCCAGGAGCATCTTACAAATCTCCCTTTTGGAAAGTCCATGGGGCTCGGCCAAGATACCAGGGTCCTGGAGTCACGCGATTCCCTCTTTTGCGACCTTCCGACAAGCAAAATCCATGGGGGGAAGCCCCACTTAACAACCAGCTTAACACTTAATGACATACATTTTGGGCTCACTTGTGGTTGTAAGTCAAGGACTGCCTGGTATTTTCCTTTGGGGGAGGGGGGGAATAGACTGTTCCCGTTGGGGGAGGCTCCCACTCCACCCTACCAAGCCCCTCATTAACTTTTAGAATAACTTTATTGTCCATTTAAATGTACACAAATCAGCATACATTAAAATGAAATTTCGTTGCATGCAGCTCTCCAAGGGTCACCACCTCCAATATGCACAACATGAACATGACAACAATGTACATAGATACGGTAGATAGCTAGAAAAATAGATGATATATCCTGTTTCCCTGAAAATATGACCTCCCCTGAAAGTAAGTCCTAGCTTGATTTTTACACGTGCACCCAATATAAGCCCTACCCCCCCAAAAATAAGCCCTAATTAAGATCCCACCCACTCCAGAGTGGACGGGTAAAAATTAAGCTAGGGTGGGGGTGGAGCTGCCCTACTACTTGCCTTTGGACAGTTGTAGCCAGGCTTCGCACACCCCGACACCTGCCTGGCTGGCCCATTTCTTCTGCAGCTGGCAAGACTTTCCTAAAGGCCTCTGTAGTTGGTAACAAAACCCTGGATTGATTCTGGAGCTCTGTTATCGGCTGCAGAGGCCTTCAGAAAAGCCTTGCCAGCCGCAGAAGAAGTGTCCGAAGGTCTCTGACAGCGAAAAGGAGGCCGGGGGTGATGCGCACAAGTGAGGTTAGTCAGTGGAGGACATCCCCCCAAAATAAGACCTGGTGCCTTTTTTGGTGGCATGTATGTGTGTGTGTATGCATGTATGCATGTATGCATGTATGTATGGCATTTAGCTTTGTTCGGGTATTTTCCCACGTCATT